AAATGGTTTTGAAATCTTCCAAAGCTTGAAAGGACTCAGAGGTTTCCAGTTAGTCAGGGAGAGGGATGCAGCTATTGCTGTGCATTGGTGAAACCACATCTGTGCTGTGTGCTACAGGGGAGCAGAGCTCTGCATGATGGGGTCTTCCAACAATTAGATGTTCTTTGCATGACTGCTGCTGGAAATATAAGCTGGTGCTGGTAACAGAAGGGGAAGATACTTAATCACACTTAAGGGATGGGATGGGATGGGATGGGATGGGATGGGATGGGATGTGTTGGATGAGATGGATGGGATGGGATGGGATGGGATGGGATGGGATGGGATGGGATGGGATGGGATGGGATGGGATGGGATGTGTTGGATGAGATGGATGGGATGGGATGGGATGGGATGGGATGGGATCAGAGCTATGGAGATGTGGTACTGAGGGATGTGGGCAGTGGGTATGGGGGCTGGGAGAGGGGTTGGGGCTCCTGGAGGGCTTTTCCAGCCTTCCTGATTCTGTGATCCTATCATTGTGATGGTGATTCTTCCATCCCAGCTCTCCTGCATGCTTCTCTGATTGCTTTCACATCCTTCTCCTGTTCTCTGTGCTGACTTGGTTTGGTTGTGGGGAGGCTGGAGGGGAGCATCAGTGAGATACCACTGAGCTGTGCTTCCATGCGCTGATGCCACCCAGTGCTGCTCACTCCTCCTCCCTGCCAGTCCCATGGCAGCACCTCCAGGGGAATTTGGCTGCCGTTCATTTACTCGTATCACCTAATTCTCAGTCACTGAAATCTCATTTTCTCACCATTCCTCCTTGCACACGTGTGTTCCATGGTACCTCTCCATTGACATTCCCCTTGGCCTTTTCCTTCTCAGTTATTTATAGTCAGTTATCCGATCTCCTATGCTTGTATTCAGCTCAGGAGCATAAAGCCCTTTAATCCCTCAATAGGTCATCCCTGTAATCCCTTTATCAGCAGCCCTTGTGATTGGGTTGATCAATGTCCATCTCCGAATGCAAACCCATGAAGCCCTGAGTCACCGAGCTGTGGGTTTTGCAAGTCATCGAGTTTTACACATCAGCATCCTGGGGTGACCCCACAGGACCCCATACCCAGAATGGAGCAGGTTGCACGTGGGAAGCTGGCTGTGCTCCAGGACCAAGGATCTGAAGGGTTACCTGCAAGGAGCGATGCCACGACATGCATCCAGTGGGAGGGAAGTTATCAGGAGGAAGCTGAAAGCGTAATTGCAGTAATTATCTGTTGGTTTCTCTTTCCTGGAGGTGCCCAAGGCCAGGTAGGATGGGTCCAAGGCAGCCTGATCAGATGGGTGGCACCCAGCCCACAGCGGGACATTGGAACTGGAAGGGCCTCAAGGTCCTGTCCAACTCAAGCCATTCTATGACCCTGACTGTGATTCTATGATTCCTCTTTCGCCATTGATTTCCATTATGGAATTTCATATCCACACAGTTGTGTGTGATCACAAAATGATTTAAGACTCAAGAATCCACAAAAAATCCTCTGTATGTGGCCAACTGCTGTGGTGCTGTATTCCTTTGCCCATGGTGCCACATGTTGGGGACCAAAGAAGGGACAATCCTTGCAGGAACACCCCTGGTGCAGAGATGATGCTTCAAGGATGTGGCTCGGACATGGAGGTAGCAGAGATATTGAATATCAATCTATCTAAAAAGATCTTTCTGCACCTCATCAAGATGGTGTGGAGCTGGATGCACTTCTCCAGGTGCACACACCTCATTTAGAGAGTTCTGACCCGGGTCTGCATTGGAGCTGGGGCCTCATCTATTTGTGAAGCTGATGCCAATGTTCTCTATCATCGTAGAACTGAAGAATATCCTGAGTTGGGAGGGACCCATATGGATCATTGAGTTCAACTCCTGGCTCCACACAGCACCCCTCATTATTATTATTAATATTATTATCATTAATAATTTTCATTTTTTAATGATTTTACATCAAACCATCTTCCCTCCCATAAGGTCTTACACTGAGCTTTGCTGTGCTGCTCCTATGACAGCATACCATCCCTGCAGTAACTGGGGGTATGTGTGCACCAGGGATGGGACCCATTCCTGCACAGATGAGACACAGCATAGCCTCCTGGGCATCTACTGGAAGCCAACACTAATTCAGGGTGCTGCAACATTCAGGGGTTGCTTTGCTTTCCTCCCCAGTGTGATACCCCTAGCACCATGCAAACCAGCTTTCTTGGGTGGCATCAAACCCCACTGGGCAAATCCCAGTGCAGTGACAATGGTGTCCTTGGTCATTCTCAACCCAACATCCCAACATGACACCATGGCCTTTTCCCAGAACAGGGAAAGCTATTCTTCAACCCAACCCAGTGTTTTATCATGGCACCATGGCCTTTGTCCAGGAGAAAGGGGAAAGCCATTCCCCAGTGCAACCCAACACTTATCATGGCACCATGGCCCTTCCCCAGAAGAACAGAGAAAGCTATTCCCCAACCCAACCCAGTGTCCCATCATGGCACCATGGCCTTTTTCCAGGAGAAAGGGGAAAGCCATTCCTGCTTTCTGCTGTAATTTGAAGTCTAAGGCACTTTTACTTTATTATTTTTTTTAACTCCTATGCTTTCCAAGAGAGGTTTGCAGCCAGCAACTCCATTGGGCTAATTAGAGCTAATGGATTTTACTTGACGTAAGCGATTAGGTTATTTCCATTGCTGATTCCTGAAAGTGAATGAGCAGCCATGCTTCAGGATTTATATAGCACCATGCAGTTCACTCCGGGAGACACAGAGTGATTTGTTCTTTCTGCAGCCTCTAGCTTCATCCAGCACTGCTGGGTATCTGCAGAGCCTCCTGACACTGCCAAACCTTGCAGAGCTCAGGAAAAAGCAGAGATGGGGGATGCATGACTGTGTGCTTTCCTGCAAAACCAGCCCATTGCTTTGTGCACATGCAAAATCCCAGCCCCCAGACGGATGCAAGGTGTTGTGCAAAAGCCCAGCAAGCAAGCTGGATGCAGGGCTGGGACACCCTGCAGCTGTAGGATGGAAGCTGTTGCATTGGGTTAGTGTGGGCTTCATCCCTTTGCAATTTTACAGACCTTGGGTGGCGTTTTCCTGCTTTCAGATCATCAAACTGAAAGCAGCATGCAAAGAAACGCGGGGCTGGAGCCAGGCACTGCTGCACCTTATGCAAAAAGGGATTGCAGTGTGTTCGGAGCTTCTGTGCTCCCCATGGAATTGCCTTTATAATGTCAGTTTGAAGAGGAAAGTGGTGATTGGTGCTTCTGTTGCAGGTGCACAACCACTGTACCTGCCATACCCAGAGCAATGAGCTCCTGGAAAACTGATGTGAGCCCCAGTGCTGAAGAGCTTCCTATGCCTTTAATGAAAATCCCACACCTGCAACCCTGCAATGAAATGGCAGAGGGAGATAATTGGCCACAATAACAGAGTGCAGTGCTTGCATGCATGCATATGTCCATATGTGTGCATATGTCCTTATGCACATATAGGCGAGCACATGTGTGTGAGTGCAAATCTGTGTCCAAGTGTGTGTGCATGCATCTGTGCACGCTCACACACGCATGTTTCTGTGTGCATGTGTATGTCATGCATGAGTTTATCTGTGCCAGTGCGTGTGTGCCTGATGTATGAATACATCTGCATGGGTGTGCATGTATGTGTGCACATGGATGGGTGTTCTTACAGGAGCACTTGCATGTGCACATGGATTTGCAAGTGTGTGTATGTGTGTGATTGCACATGTGCATGTTTATGTCTGCACACCTGTGTGCACCACAGTGCATGTGTGATTTTGCATGTGCTCCTGTGTGCATGTAGATGCACGCATGTAATTGTGTATGTGCAAATGCTTGTATTTTGCACATGTATGTACCTGTGTGTGTATGCACATATATGTACCTTAATGCATGCAGGTGTGCAAGGAAGGGTGTGTGGGTGCATTACATCCATGTGTGTGCACAAGTGTGCATGCATGTGGTTGCATGTGGTTGCATGTGTGTATGTGCATGTGCATATGTGCATTTGTGTCCATGTGCATGCATGCATTTCTGTAGGTGTGTCCAGATGTGTGTGCATGTATGTGCACACATCTACATGTAAACACGCACATACACACAGGTCCACACATGTGCACATACACATGCAGTATATGAGCATTCAGATATGCATAATCACAGACATGCATCCACATGCACAGATATGCACACATGAATGCATGCACAATCACACAGTGAACTGAATGCACACAGCTATGTGCACGCATGAAGATGCATGCATGCACAGCCACAGTCACACACATACATCCACATACAGGCACACGCTTGCACATGCAAGCATGTTTACACCTGCACACGTCTCTGCACATGCAAACACATTTATGTGCACACATTCAAACGCTCACAAGTGAAACCACATATATGCAAGTTTGTGCACACACAGGGATACGCTTGCAGCAACGCACCTCTACGTGCAAACATGCACGTGCATGCAGGTACACACATGTACGCATACATGTGCAACATGCAAGCATTCACACATGCATAATCACATACATGCATCCATATGCACGGGTTTGCACACGTGAACACACACACACACAGGAACTGAATGCACACAGCTGTGTGAGCATGCACAGTCGCACACATACACCCAAATGCAGGCACACGCTTGCACATACATGCCTCCGTGCAAGCACCCAACCATGCACACACCCACACACCGCCCTCCATGCAAACGTGCACAAACGGAAACGCACACGCAAGACACGCGCGTGCACACGCATGCTGGTGCATGTGCAGACATGTCCTGTTGCGTGTACACACGTGCACACACATACATGTGCACGCACATACAAGCGCAAACGTTCCTACACACCGCCCTGCCCTGCGCGTCTGCGCATGCGCGCAGGTGCGCGCCCGCCCCCTGGCTGAGCCCCGCCCCTTTGATAAGCCCCGCCCCTCCGCCAGAAGCCCCGCCCCGTTCTGCGCTGCGCTGCGCGGGGGTTGCGCGGGGCTTCGCGCTCCGCTCCCTGCGCCGCTCCGCTCTGTGCGTGCGGCCGCTGCGCGGAAAGTGCGCGGAGCAGCGCGGAGCGGGGCCGCCATGGCGTGGCCCTGCATCACCCGCGCCTGCTGCATCGCCCGCTTTTGGAACCAGCTGGATAAAGCCGATATCGCCGTCCCTTTGGTTTTCACCAAATATTCCGAAGCCACCGAGCAGCCCCTCCCCGCGCAAATCCCGCGCAGCGCGGCGGCGCCCATCGATACCCAACCCGGCGGCGATGCCGCGGCTGCGGGCGGGGGGGACGCGGCTCCCGGCCCCGCACGGCCCGGAACGGCCCCGCACGGCTCTCCGCCCGCGGACTCGGTGATGCGGCACGACTACAAACCCTGGAAGGTGCAGCGCCCCGAGCCCAGCTGCAAACCCAAAAGCGAGTACCAGCCGTCCGATACGCCCTTCGAGAAGGAGACGCAGTACCAGAAGGATTTCCGCGCTTGGCCCATCCCTAAAAGAGGGGACCACCCGTGGATCCCCAAAGCGGGTCCTTCCCCCGTGCTCGTCCCCGAGCGCGGATCTCCCGAGAAAGCGGCTCAGGAGAAGCGGAGGAAGAAGGAGGAGGAGGCGGAGGCGGACGAGGAGCATCCCAAGGCGGCCCGGCCCGGGGATGGCCGAGAGAAGGGGCGGCAGAGGGGCGATGAGGCGGGCGGGCAGGAGGGCCGGGGCCGGGCGGCCGCCGATGCTCTCAACCGGCAGATCAAGGAGGAGGTGGTGGCGGCGGGGGTCAGCTCGTCCTACAGGTGAGACCCCCCTCGGCCGTCCCGTCCTTCCCCGGGGGGCGGGGCGGTTTGGTTCCCGAGGATTTTCGCTGTCGCTTTGTCGCCCCGTAGCCACCTCTCGGCCCGTCCCGCTTTATTGGGATGCAGGGAGTGAAGGTTCGGGTTCTACAGGGAGGGTCTGCAGCACGGCCCCCACCCGCCGTGCGGATGCTTTGGGCACTTCTCTGCCATGTGCAAAGCTCTGCTGGTCCCTTCTGAGAGGATCTCTGGGTGCTCAGAGACCCCACTTCATCCTGACAGCATCCCAATATCCTGAAAGCATCCCTGTATCCTGACAGCATCGCTGTGTCCCAGCAGTGTCCCTATATCCCAACAGCATCCCTGCATCCTGACAGCATCCCTGCATCCCAACAGCATCCCTGTATCCCTGTAGTGTCCCTGTATCCCAGCAGCATCCCTGTATCCCTGTAGTGTCCTTGGATCCCAACAGCATCCCTGCATCCCTGTAGTGTCCTTGGATCCCAACAGCATCCCTGCATCCCAGCAATGTCCCTGGATCCTGACTGCATCCCTGTATCCTGGCAGTGTCCCCGCATCCTGAAAGCATCCCTATATCCTGAGAGCATCCCTGTATCCTGACGACATCCCTGCCTCTTACAATCCAGAGACCCCACTGCATCCTGACATCATCCCCGCATCCCGACAGCATCCCTGCATCCAGAAACATCCCTGTCCCTGGCTTCACAGACCCCACTACATCCCTACAGCACCATCCCTGGGCCCCAGGCATGCTGGGCCAGCAGCATCTCCAAGACAAAGCATCCCAGGGCCGCGTTGGGATGCGGGTGACGCGCGCCCTGCGCTGCTTGGGTGGGGCAGCCTTGGGATGCTGCCATGTTTAACACGGCACAGCGTGGGGCGGCACGTCCCTTGTTTCCCCCCCTCCCCCTCCCCTTTTATTCCCCACCCCAGTCTCAGTGCCCTGATTTCACCCCTTTTATCATTCGCAGCATTAATCTCCTCGCTTTGCTTGTATTTCTGAGTGGGGTCGGATGCGTCGGGAATGCAAAACAAAGTGGCTGCTGCCCTGCACGGGTGTTTGCAAGGAGGATTTGCTGAGATTGTGTTTTCCAGAGCTTTCTTTGGCAGTGCCCACCTCTGCTGAGGGTGGGGATGGGCAGAGAGCAGAGCTGGGGGGGGCTGCTTTGTGACCTAGGTGTGACTGCAGCTTTTTCCTTGTTCCTGTGCCTATGTGCACAGTGGTAGGTTGGGGAAACATCAGTTTTCTTCCCTAAGGGGGGTTTGGAGGTCGTGCTCTGCCACCAGGCAGATAGTAAATCCTTGCAGGTTTACTGTGAAGCTGGGTTTTCTGTCCCACTGTCCCTATTGTCCAGGTGGGAGATGGCTCAAGCAATGGGATTTAGGGTTTATTTTTGCTTGTTTTTGCTGTATTTTGGAGGCACCACATCCATCTCTCTGGGGATGCGGTGGTTCAGGTGCTCTGAGATGGCAGAGGATGGGCAGGGATTTTCGAGTTGTCTGTTTTGGGATTGGGAATAGAGCTGGAGAGCTGTCATGTTGCACTCTTCCATTGCTACAAAAGATAATTAGGTTTATTTACGTAATTATTTAGATGCAGATTGCTTGCCGTTCCACCCCTATGTGCACCCCATAGTCTGCTCCAACAAATCCCTACAGCTGCATGTCCCCCCTGTGCAGAGGGGTCAGATGGGTTCAGGTGCTGGGCCCAATAGGAACACGAAGGCTTGATATTGTGGCTGATTGCTCTCAGCTTCTGTTCGAATCTTATAAGGCATCTTATAAGCGTTGCTTCATGTTTGGGTTTCTGAAAGCCAAACTCTGCGAATCCCCATTACTGTGTAAAACCTCACTGCTCTTGGGTCTTGCTACCTGTATAGGATTGTGTAGGGTTAGGTGAGATTTGAACATCTCCAAGGATGAAGGTTCCACTCCAAGGATGGGGCCACCCAGCAGCCAGAATTACCCCCTAACAACCCAGGGGTGGCTAACGTGGGGCTTTGTCCTCTGTGCCCTTTGCTGGTGTGTGACTGCTGGCTGGAGGCAGAACTGGGAAAGATTTCCTTCCAGTGCTACGAATCAGCGTAATGTGATGCTCCAGAGCTGGGAACTGACCTTTGGTGAAACCAAAGAACACAGCACTAATGGCTTGTCAGTGTGCTGTGATGCTGTGTTGTTTACTGGGGAGTTTGGGACAGAGCATGGGATGCGTTCAGCGATGAGCCCAAGGTCATCAGTGCATGAGAAAGGGAGGAATTCCCCTTTTTACCTCTGTACAGAGAATATTGCAGGGACCGTGTGCTGTGAACACTTGGGTCTGCTCAGAGTGATAGAGCAGAGAGTGTCCTGATGGTGATGGCCATGGAGGATGGAGGCTGCTCCCAGCCCTGGTGCTGGAGGATTATTTAGAATAATAGAATCGTTAAGATTGGAAGAGACATCCAAGACTGACTTGTCCAACCATTGACCCATCCCCACCATGCCCACTCATATAATCATTATCATTAAGATTGGGAGAGACATCCAAGACTGACTTGTCCAACCACTGACCCATCCCCACCATGCGCACTCATAGAATCATTAAGGTTGGACAAAGACCTCCAAGATCCCCAAGTCCAGCCATCACCCCATCTCCACCATGCTCACTCAAGCCTTCAGCAAGCCCAGAGCAGCTATGGCAGCACTGCACATCTGCAGGAGACTTCACGTGCCTCAGAGATCCTACAGAATAAATGGGAAAACCATTTGTGTAGGGAAATGACCGAGTGCATGTCCAATCCTAATGGTTTCTGTAAGTGAAGTGACTCCTGGAGCAGTGTGTGGTTTGAACCCCTTGGGAGCAAGTAGGCTTGAAGGTGATCAAGTTGTGCATGTTGGGATCTGCTTGCCATGTAGGGTCTTATTTCTCTTCTGCAGTGGGGAAACTGAAACAGGGCTTCCCAGGGACCAGCTGATCCCTTCCCAAAACATGGGCTGCCCAGGCAAAGCTATGGGGCCAGTTTGCACTGCTCCTCTTTGCTCCCTGCAGACCTTGAGGGACCACATAAGGACATCTTTCAGCAAGGAGGAAAACTGAGTTTGTGTATTTTTCCCTGGAGAAAAAATGAAAGGGGAAATCTCAAATGAGAAACATCGCTCCCTTTGTGCTGAAGCGAGTGATAGTGCAATGAATTTCCCCATGAGAAGCAATACTGTGAAGCTTTGTTTTCAGATTCTTCACCAGAGACATATATATATATGTTTTTGTTTTTTTTTTACCAAAGCTTTTATTTATTTTTCCCACCAATTTCTTTTCCTATCAGAGGAAATGAGAGGAATAGTGATGACTCCTGTAGTATTAACAAAGTGCCTGTTGCTAAAGCGCTGTCGCTCATCTCAAGCCCTGGAGGTGCTGAAGACGTGGAGCAAATGGGAAGTGTAGAGCTGCAGGGATGAATGACTCAGTGCTGGAGCTGCTGTGTAGTGTGAGATGCAGAGGAGCTGACTCAGGAGGGATGTCCTCCTTGGAGCCGCTCACACAAGGATGGGGAATTCATGCTTCATCACTATGGAACTGGGAATGTAGGGTTGGAAGGACCTCCTGACATCATCTGGTCCACATCCCAGTTCTGAGATAGGATGGAGGAGATAATGAATCAGAGCTTTTCTGGGCAGACTTAATCTCCCAATGTCGTTTAGCTATGACTTCTCATTTTGCATGGGAGTGATGATAAGTTAATCCATACAGATGTGTGGATCCAAGATTGCTGCCAGCTGCAAGGAAGGGAAAGGAACGGGGAGTTTTCATCCATCCGGAAAAGGAGGTTCAGTGGGAGATATTGAGTGGCTTTGGTTCTGTGCATACCCTTAGCAGATCTTGATGGTGCTCCAAGGACCGTTGTGTGGGATAATGGCATGGAGAAGGCTCTCATAGTGAGACGTGGAGAGGATTGAAATGAGTGTTGCAGCTGTTTTATCACGCTCTGCATCTTAGGTGTTCAGGAGATGTGTAGATATGGCACCTGGGGACATGGTCAGTGGGCACAGTGGGGATGGGTTGGGCTCGGGGAGCTGGGAGGTCTTTTCCAACCTTAAGGATTCCATCACTCTACAGTTTTATGAGCGGTCTCCCCTGGATGTGGTCTGTCCATCAGCTGGGAAAGAGTCTTGTTGGCATTCCAACCCAAAAGTCATATTGCCTGCACTCACCCTGAAGTGGACAGCATCCATCCTCAGACTCAGCTGGAAGCAGTGTAGGCAGAGCAGAATTTTGTGGCTGTGTGCTGCAGGGTGGGGTTGAACAGGAGGTAGCATTCTGGTGATGGAGTTGTTGATGGACCTGAGCAGTTTTTTCTCTGCTCCTGCTCTGCTGTGGTCACCTTGACAGGGACTCCAAGGCACATAGGATTGGATGGAACGCACTGAACAGTAACATCCAATTATAGACATCCCATTGCTTAGTCTTTTTCTGTTCCCCAGATCAACTGTTCTCTCCCTTTTCCTGGGGGGAACCAGCATTTCTAAAATGTGGATCCATCATGCTGCTTGTGGGTATGGGGAGGAGATGCCCATCTCTTCCTGACCCCACCACACCATCTTTGTGGCCATCACTACCTCTGCTGACCCCTTCATTCTCCTTAGGCACTTCCAGCCATGGAGCTGCCATCCCATAGCAAGAAATCCCAGTGATTAGAGCCCAGCCTGGAGCTTCGTGCTGGATTTTCACCCCATTTTGAGCATGGCAGTCAAGGTCCTTCCCTTTCTTCCTGCATGCTATCCTGATCCTCCTTCCTCCTGGTGCTGCCTACAGTGTTGTGCCATTAGGAGGTCTCAGCAGCGTTGCCCTACTTTTGTGTGCCAAAGTCAACCTCAGCACCGTTAAGCACCGCTAGCCTCCTTCCAGGCTGCAGCTCAGCGTTAACGCTTTGCATTTCCATTTCCCATGCCCAGTTTCTCGTTCGGCTGTTGTTCGTATTCGCTGGCTTAATTAATAATCTCCCACG